AATGAAGGCTAATCATGTTTTGGGTGTACTATTCCTTTAAGTGGCGAGTCTAATATTCCCAATTTGTGGGGCTTTTCCGCCTCGAAGCGAGCGTGTGCATTCAAGATATTATCCCGTCTCACCTTTTGAGTTCAACCACAGCAGCCGTAACCAGGAAAGGTCTTCCATCCTGACAGGAGCTGTATGAGAAGAGTCTGGTGCGGGTGGAGAACGGCAGTCTGCCGGCGGATCTGCTGGAGATCAAAACCTTCCTAACCGTCCCTCTGGTGATAGAAACCTCCTTCCACGTGTCGCCTCCAACCGTCTACCTGATCTGCAGTTAATTCATGTTTGTCTTTTTCTCAGGACTTGGTAAAAGTCATGACCATGTGCCCTCAGCATGATCTGGTAGGAGCTTTTTGTTTTGCGTCTCCTTGTGTTTTTTCTGTTTGCATCTATTGGAGGTTTAAATGAGGCGTTTCTTCGTTTGTCCTCAGAGGACTAAAGGACTGAAGGTCTTCCAGCTCAGCATCGATAAGTTCAGCACTGAAGCCAAGTACAGATTTTTCGAGTGAGCTGCCAGTCCCCACTGCACTCAGACAGCCAGAGTTCCTGTCCCGCCCCCTGATGTAATCTGATTACTGTTTCAGATACTTGCTCAGGACCAGTAATCACTCTGGAGTAGAGGGCTACACCATTAAAAACATCCGGAGTCAGATAGACGCCGCTCTGCAGGTAAAGGTCGGAGCTTCCCGGTCCTGCCGCTTGTGCCGAGTCGCTGACAGTCGCTCTTTTCTGTCTTCAGCCAGGAAACGCCAACGTCTGGTTTGAAGGAAGTCACCTGCTGCCTCTGCTCCGTAAGGTGTTCAAGCTTCCAGACGGCCCAGAGACGGACCTGCTGCAGTACATGGACAGGTGTGCACACGCCTACTTCTAGCTTTGCTTAGTCTCTGATGTTGCATCCAAACGAGACTGAAAAGACTAAAATAGAGGTATTACTCGCGCATCATTTGGAAGTGGAAACCTCAGAAGTTTTTACCAAGATATTTGCTTAATTGGATTTTTCAGGTCAATATTGATCTCTTGCCACGTATTGATGCTCCCTGCTGGCGCTCAGAGCGCCATTTTAGTCTGAGCTCCATTTAAAGGAGAAGTCCGGTCAGCAAGGAATAATCCACGGATCATATCTATACCTAAAACTAATACACTCACAGTAATTTCATAAATTTAGCGTTAATCAGTAAAAAAAATTGACATAAGTTTTTTCGCAATCACAGAGTCTGGAATCCTTCCTGCCATCTTCCGGCAGTGATGTCACGGTGTGGTTAGCCTAGCGCAAATCTCACAATTCCAAACTTCCACCATGAAATGGGATGAAGTGTGACTGCTGGGCCTTTTACTGCACCGGACCTCAGCAGAGAACCATGAGCCGCCTGTCCTCAGCCGGAGGAGGGGGGCAGGTAAGGCAGGTGGGGGGAAGCAAGGGGCCGCTGGTGTTCAGGCTACCGTCACCGGGTCGGTTTCAGTGATTCCGTCCCCCGCTGGCTCCCATCCACCGGGGTTCCTGGTCCAGCCCCGGAGGTCACGGCTCGGTTCTGCTGCACTGCAGTCGACCAAAATCCTGGACGATTTTGAAATTCCCCCCGGTCATTTTTTTAAGGTGTGAAATGTTAGCCTCGTGAGACCATCCTGATCTCGCGAGCTTTCAAGGTTTCACTCGCAGATCAGTCTGGAGACTCTCCGTTCAAGAAAATTTGGAGCCGTTCTCCACACGAACGTCCAATCAG